TCTGCATCTTTAATTTCAGGCTTTAATTTCTGCCCATGTTTCCTAACATACATAGATTTCAGAGTTTCAGAGACAATGCCCTTGTACGACATACTAAACGAGTTCCAGAAAGGACTAAGTCACATGGCAGTTGTTGTGAAATGCCAAAATGATACAATGGAGAAAAGAAGCAGCAGCCTGTCAAGCAGAAATGGTTTGCCTTTTTGTCTTTCGTTTTCGTTTTCCCCCATTTAGCTTCTTCATGTTGAATGTGAACTGCTGTGAGAGCAGTGATGATAGATATTCCTGGAGGAAGCTTTCCACAAAAGAGAAGCTTGAGGGCCAGAAGATCACTGAGAAGGTTAAGGGGATTGTCTTCTGCAAATGCAAACGTTTCGCGAAGGGAATACTCAAAGAGCAGAAGGTGGTCAGAAGAATTTCACCCAGCAGTCCTGCCTGTTCATGAAAAGCCAGTTTTAACTCTCACACCAGATGAAGTGGTTGGCATTATAACCATGGAAGATGTCATAGAACAGCTTCTCAAAGTATACAAACCTTCACTCTTCAATTCCTCTTTCTTTTTTCATTCAATTCTCTCAGCACACTAAATGGCCTGGCCTTAATGTTGATATATTCGATCTGCAGGAAGAGATCTATGATGAAACAGATCACCATGATGAGGCTTTTTAGACAGATAATGATGATGAGATTGTGGTGTTGCAGATTTGCAGGAATATAATGCAAGAACCACTGCACCTATATATCAAGTTGGAATTTTTTTTTTTTTTTTTCTTCCCATGTTTTCTTGTAAGAATCTAAGAGAAGCCCGTGACAGAGAAGAAGCGGAACTGGCCTTCTTCCTCAATTATATGTATGTGTAATTGCTATGAATCAAATGCAGAACAGCTTTTTGTTCTTGCATGCAAAGCCCAAAAACTATATAAAATAATGAGAACGTATTGAGAAATCAAAGATACGATCTTATTATTACTAAACCTTCAAGTTTACAATAATTATAAAATGAGTTCTCTGATCTTAAAAATTTTTTAACAATTATAAAATTTATCTTGTGTTTTTTTACTAAAATCATCAATCATTGATGAACCATGATAGATAACTCGGATCAGTCCTTATTTTTTACCATGTTCTCATTTAATCATGCTCCTATATATATACTTCTTCCGTTCCATTTTATGTGTCTGGTTCGGTTAACGAGGCTCGACTGGAGTTAACTTTAATTCAATTTTTCATAATATTAAGTTTAGAATTAGTATACACTAAAAGTACTATTAAACTACACTAAAAGTACAATTAAATACCAAAAAATTAAATTTAAAAATAAGTAAAAAATACTAAAGAAAATAAACAAAGAAGAAAGAGCTGGTTTGACCCATGAATAGTAAGTATAATAGATAAAATGGGACGGAAGGAGTATATGATTATTATATATTTCATTTTTATCTAATATTTTTTTTTAATATTTATTTATTAAATCCAAGTATATATATCAAACTCTTAAAAACCTATAACATGTATGTCTTTAAAAAAGCTTCACGCGGAGCAAATCCTATTATAAACTCAGACTTGGATCTAAAAGAAAATCTATTTACAAACTCAATCCTTAATTTAACCTGTTATAACAGGTCCAGACTAAATTTGTCCAGGCCTACCTCAATTTGTCCTATTTTAATTCAATCTCCGTGCGCCCCACGCCTCCCAAAACGATGTCGTTTTGTTAAGTTTTTTTTTAAAAAAAAATCATATGTTTCAAATGCACATAAACTCATAACAGAATACACATAATCTAACATAATACATAATACACATAAATTTTTAACTGAATATACATAATGGGATTTGGTTAACATATTACACATAAACTCTTAACTGAATACACATAAACTCATAACACAATGCACATAAACTTTTAAATGAATACTTATAATGAGGTTTGGTTAACATAATACATATAAACTCTTAACTGAATACACATAAACTTTTAACTGAAATACTGAATACACATAATATGGTTTGATTTGTTTGGGCGAACGAAGTGACGTTAGCAAGAAACGCACGTTTTATGCCCGGTGGTGCACGATATAAATTGCCATTTTCATCCCACCTATCCTAGCAAAGAAACCGGGTGGTCAAATGCTCTGTCAGGCCGGGATGTGGGGGAGTTCAGCCTTGGAATAAAGAAACCGGGTGGTGTATTATAACCCAACCCAAAAGCCCATACCCACTTTTTGTCAGTAGCCATGAATTCCAGGATGATCCAGAATAGGCCTCAAGAGGAAAAAAAACAAAGTCTCTTAACATTAGTGTTTGGGCCTTGTTAATTCAGACCAAAATCATCCTAAGATTGCGGGCTTAGTAGATCCAGCCGACGAAATATTCCGCTTTTGCATGCCGACCAGACATCATAATAATGTTTACACTTGGCCGGAATCATTACATTTTACACGCACGAATACATCAACTCACTATATCGCCCACCACCTAGCTAAATTAGTCGGACAATTAATTTATAATACTAAAATTTCAAATTTAACTTTAAGTGAGAACGATATATTGAATTTCACAAACAAGATAATGGCTCGATTTAATAAAATAGTTAGTCTATCAATCAATTTTGACTTGTTTGATCACTATTAGCTGTTTGACTTGATTAAACATACAACTAATATGAGTATTTGATTAATTAGCTTTTAGTAACAGTTTATTGCTTTAAAATACTAAAATTCAAAAAAAGGCTTAAAACAGCTTATTAAATAAGCTTTTTGAAAAAGTCAATTTGTATAAAATCAACTACCAGCTAACAGTTAATTTACCAAACATTTTTCTACAATCAATTAGTCAAACTCACCAACCCAATCAACTAACAATTATTTACCAAATAGCTCAATATTGTTACCTCAATATAATTAATAATATTGGCTCAATTTGGCAGACATTTCTGAAAAAGCTGTTCTTCTAACAACCTTATTTTAGTTTTCCAAGTTTTGGACACAGAATCCTTCTTTTGACCACAGCAATATCATATCCTACCGTCCTGGGTTGATATCTTCTTGATACAGATCAGCAGCTGATTAAGATACGGTTAGTAACTAATCCCACCTTAATCTGGAGCTTCATTAGTCGCATATATAATATATCCAACAACGCCGTACCCTTTTCGCACGTTTCTACAAAAACAAAGAAAACAAAACCCTTTGCTGATGCAGCCAAGCAGGAAAAGAAAGACAAAAAGTTTATGAAGAACAAAAGCAGCAACTACAGAGTGTGATTAAATTAATTAATGTTAATCGTCCATCCAAATAATAGAGATGATAATATATAACTGTGTGTGTGAGAGAGAGAGAGAGTCCAGTCTGCAGTGCACCCATTATATTGCATTCTCCCTTATCTTTTTGAATAATTGGGAGGCATGTTTCCATCAACTTTAGACAAAGCTCATGAAAGAATCTAGTAATGATGATGTTGGAGAGAAAGGTACTGGCCGGAACTAACATCAGGGAAAATGAACTATAATAATAATAATAATAATATTGTTATTATTAAAGAAAATAAGAAAAAAGAGAGGTAATTATATATATATTCCTATTATGGTCAAAGGCTCCAGAGAAATACCCACCAATCTTTTAACACTTTGAGCTGTGATGGTACTTGGCAGGACAATAAATGAAATATGCAATTATGATGATTTGAATCATCCAATGTAGTGCCCAATATCGTTTCATGCAATTTTTCTACCAGAAAATAATCATGTCATGCAAATTCCTGCATGACAGTCTATACATTATGGGAGATATATGCTAAGTGGCCAAGTACAGGTGTTTTTGCATCCATTTTTTTGTTTTTTAAAATTCAAGTATCCTAGTTTTGCCAGACATTTGTGGGTTGCGCGCTGTAACTAGCTAGAAACGAGTTTTTAAATGCAGTTTCTCAATCACTGAATCACTATCCCGGGCGCAACTAAGTTAATCAGGTGGTTGCCAACTACGACCTTGTAATATGATGGCGTCCTGGTTACCTTTATAATTGAATGATTATAGGTTCAAACCCTGGTGATGGGAGTTTAGATTCTTTGAATTAAAAATGATTGAGAAAGTATAAAACAAATACTATCTTGTAAAGAATCATGAGTACTTTTAATGAGATCGGCTTATTGGCTTTCAACCCGGCTTTCTTGGGTTGGGGGTTTATTGGCTTTCCTATGTTGGTTACCCCTTATGATTCTTTGACAACTATGGTTACAATAAGAAATTTATTCCATGCACACTCTGGGGTAGTAGTTTTGAGTTGGTCATCCCTTTTGGGGCCTCATAGAGCATTATTGCTTACACATGTTTGAACTTGTAACTTGTAATAAGATTAATTAATTTTGGTTTGTAATATATCTTATACTAGCCAGACTCGGATTTTGGGCTGTGCAAGTTGGGCGACCGCACATGGCCCCAAATTTTAGAGGGGCCCCAATAGAAGCTCAATATTTTATTTTTACCTAGTTAGTTTAGAAATACAAATTAAAAGTTTTTAATTAAACTTAAAAGACTTTATAAAGAAATGGTAGGAACATGTATTTATTGTATTTTAACTTTGAGATCTAAGGTTCAAAACTTGTGCACACTATTATTATTATTCCATAATATGTCTATTTTTACTTGTGCGTTGCACGGAAAATATTTGTTATAATCTTAAAATTATAACAACGAATATTATATAGTGCAATTGATGAAATTGGTTGTATCGATTATGTTTTTTTTTTTTTATGTTATCCTTGCTTGAATTCGAGCAAATAATTGTACAATTTTCCGTGCAGTGTACGTGCGATGTGCGTGCAGTGTGCGTGCGATGCACGGATAATTTTTTTTTTGTTATATATTTAGATAATAAAATTACGGTATTAGTTTTATGGATTTTAATTTTAATAAGGGCTTATTTATTTATCCAAACAGGGCCATAAAAATCTAAAAACCGACCCTGCCAAAAATTAAAATTAATATGCGTTGACCCTAATGTGAAGTTTGTCTAAGATAAAATGAATTGAAGAACGTAACGTAGGTTACAAGAGCTAGCTAGCTAGCTAGCTATTTTTCACTTAAAATTAATTAATCCACCCAAATATTTAAGCAGTAGTAAATCCGAAAAACCTCGTACAAGGAATCTAGCTAAGTTATAGGTCATCTTTGATCGTCATCATGAGAAAGATCTCCGATGTTTCACACAATTAACGTTAACGCCGAATTAAACGTAACCATGATATATCATCATCATCAGCTAGCTAGCTACTTTAGCTATGCATCTGTCCATGCAGCGAAAACCGGCAAAGGACACCTCAGCTGCGCCGCCGCCGCCGACGAAATCCAAGAATTCACGTTACTCACACTACTACTAGTTCCGTAGAAATTGGCCGCCGCCGGCGACTGAAAGTGCACCGGCGGGGCGGTGTTGGTCGTCTTGTCAGGGCTGCCTTCCCTGGAGCTTTCGACGCTGTTTACCAACGAAGAATTGCCAGTCGACAGATGATTATTAGTCGTCGTCTTCACCATCATCATCGTATTATCCATCCCCTCCAAACCTAAACAGGAGCTTCTGAAATCATCACCAACACCGCCGCCGCCCGGTTTTTGGTTATACGCCGCCGCCGCCGTCATGTTCTTGCTCCGCCGCGCTTGTTCGCCGGTGAGAAGCGTGCTACTCGCCATTATCCGCTCCACGTCGTACCTGGAAACGTCGAAATTCGTCACTGCATTCAAACCTCGAAACTTGATCGCTGCAATATCATAAGCCTCCGCCGCTTCTTCCTGCGTGCCTGAAATTCAATAAACAGATCAGATTCTCAAACCCATAAAAACAGCTTTTCAGCAGATCAGATGATTAGTATGTATGACCATTATATTGTTGAGCTTAACGAGAACAAAGCAAAAAAAAAAAAAGACAATTAAAATGTGAAAATAACGGGACGACAAAGGGGAGCTGATGATCTGAGATCGAAAACCCAGAAAGAGATGAGATATGGAGAATTGAAGTGAATCAAGACAGAAAAGAAAAGCAAAAGATTCCCAATCTGATCAGCCTTATTATGCGTCTTGCTGACAAACATGCAGCCATTCAAAACCTCGCGACAGCTCGTGATAAGCCTGCAGTCTTACACTACTACGGCAAAAAAATAAAGTACTAAAGAGAAAACACCCTTTACTCACATATCAACAAAGACTTAATCTTTGCCTTTCTAAATATTATATTAATGAGGTGCTAATTTAATGACTTCAACTTTATTACATAATTAATTGGTAGGAATGGAAATTGTTGCACCGTTCACATGATGATCAAGAAAGTCAATAATGTCTGTTGCACTTACTGAATGTTCCCAGATAAAGATCTTTGTTTCCAGCAACTCGGCCGATTCGAGCTTGCCATCTTCCATGCTGATGGTGTCTGCTAAAGGAAAAGAGAGAAGTAAGTGACTTCAGTGACACAAAATAGCATCCATTAATTTATTGCACTCTTTTCTGAGTGACGAGGAAAACCCACAAACACTATTTGAGAATGTGTACTGGGTCAACCTGCCTTGTGACCCTATTTGGTAAACAGTGTTAAACTATGATAGGTTACTCAGCTCAAACCAAGAAGACCAATAAGCCGTTTTAACTTGGTTGGGGTGACACTAATTTATTGCATTCTTGGTGCTATAGTAAATGTATGTAGGAAGGTAATATGAAGACCTTGTGACTCCTCTATAGATTGAAGCTCCCCTTGAGAAGCCACTGCTCCTTCTGAAAAGGGAATGCAAAGGTGAAAACCAGAAGCAGAGAGACAAAGAGATCTAGTGGAGGGGATTAAGATTTAAGAAACAAACTAAGCTAAGATACCTTCTTAGGTGGGCAACATATTCTTGCCTGGTCATGTTCTTCATTTCATCTATCTCTTGATGATAGTTCTCCAACTACATACATGACAGATTTGCAGACAGATGTTAGATTTAGGAAGAAAGTTTGCAGCATAAATGATATTAAGGTTGGTTCATTACTGGGAAATTGATATGGGTAGCTGGTCCCCAGTATTTGATTGCAGCCAAATCATATGACCTTGCTGCCTTTTCTTCCATGTCATAGCCCCCTAAAATTTGAAACCATCAAAAATTCAATACTGCTGTGTATATAATGTTTTGGGGGCATGGGGAATTGGTAAAACAGATCATGTTTTACCTAGATAAACTGCAGCCATTTGGTGTTGTCCCCAGCAACAAAAAAGATCATGGAAGACAAAAATGAATCAGATTACTAGGTAAGAAACTATGAACAAATGTTATGTCAGTTTCATGGTTTATATATGTTTACAAACCTTGCCTCCCTTTCCTGCTCTGTCCTTCTTTCTTACAACTGTTGTCCCACAAGTGAGCTTCATATCTACCAGTCCATCTGTGCCTGCAATGAATATATGGTCAAAACCCAAAACAATAAACATTTTATGTATCATAAACTGTATCACAAAGCTGAAGTGATGATCTAACCTAGTAACACCTCTGTACTGAGATGTTCTTTGCCCAAATGTGTCAAAGGATTTTCTGTGAGTAATCTGTTTCTGATCCACCACCTTATCAGACCCTCTTTTCTTGGTTTCCGGGGCCAAGGACTGTGTAACAGTGGGTGTGATTTGGTGGTTTGGGGCGGTGATACAGCTTGACTGTGAGCCAGGGCTCATTGATAAGCTCAGAGACTGAAAATCGCCATATCCCATAGCTCCAATAGATCCAGTAGTAGATTCTCCACCATTTTCATTCATTACATGCTCCCCTGAAAACCCCCTGGAAACCCAGTTCTTTAACCCAACACTAGTTGCCGACGACATTTGGTTTTCTGCCATTGTTGGGAGCTGAAGCTCATGCCCACCACCTCTCATTGCTGCAGAGTAGTCTTGGAAGTGGTGAGCCACCACAATCTGTTGTTCCTGGTGCTTGGAGTTTTCTTGAAGATGGTTGAGGAAATCTTGACCGTCCATTCCACCACCTCTGTCGTCATAGTGATGGTGGGGCGCCATTGTTGCATCCCCAAAGAAGTCCTCAAGCTTCGGCGGCGTTGGAATCACCAAACCTTCACAGTCAAAAATGGGAAGAACCAGAAAGATTATATATATTCCAAGAAGGAAATTAAAGAAATTAAGAAGCACTGTACTGTAGTGTACAGAAGATTTAGGTAAAAACCTTGGGGGTGTGACCTGTTGAAAGATTCCATAATGCAAAGAGAGCCATCAGACTTGAGAGGCATTACAGAGAAAGAAGACAACAGCCCTGCATTCTCACCTTCAAGCCCATAGTAAATGGCATTTGCATTAGGATAGTTGATAGAGTGGGCTAAACTGGAATGGGAAGACAGGGAAAAACCCAACCAGTTGCCATTATTGCTGCCAGACCCATCATTACTCAAAGACTTCATTTTTGTTTTCTTTTGTTTTTGGTTCTCTCAAAGAAATGAAACCCAGAACGAAGAGATTTTCTGAAAACTTCTCGAGGGGAAAAGCAAAGTCAGTCATGCATTGGGATACCAAATAAACTACCATACTCCTCCATATATATATCCATGCGCTAGCTAGTATTAACCTTCACCTTCTTTAATCTCTCTTCTGCTTTCTGAAAGCTGCCTGGCCTGGTTTACTATTTTGTTTGGTAGCTGCAGAATAATAAGTAGAAAAAGGAAAACTCACAACTCTAACCAAAAATCTAAAAATAAAAACCATCCATCCTCTCTTTTTGTTGCTCTTATCTCTCTCTTTTTTCTTTTTTTCGTGTACCCAGAGTTTCCACCTTATGACTAATCCCCTCGCTGAATTGTTAGTACATCTTTTGGATGTGATAGCTGAACTGGAGATTTAAGACTGTTCCATACTCAAAATCAAAAATAGAACCTTTAACCTTTGGTTAAAGAGGGATGAGTACAAATTTTTGGTCTTATCTCTCTGTCTATGGTGTGAAAAGATTTGTAAAGAGAAGAAAGCAAAGCAATCCCGGCCCCTTTAAACAAAACAAAAAGAATGAGTTGCAACAAGGAATGCTGGCCATCTTTGCTGCATTCCATAGGGATCTGTGCTTGAGAAAGACATCTCTTTTGCTTTTCCTCCGCTCCACCCTGCACCCCCCATCACTTTCTTCTTTTCTTTTTTGACATGCCTATATACATTTTATATATATGTATATATGGTTGTGTTAACAGGTGTTCTTAAGGCACCCTTTATACGGAGGATGACATAACAATCAATTATCTGTGGTGGTGAAGACTTTTTTCCTTGCTTGCTTTTTACAGTTCCCGACTACTGCGTATATCAGTCATCAGAGAAGCTAAGATAGATTTTGGCTAAGGCACAAAATTAACTGGCCTGGCGACCTGTAGACATCTGATGCTCTGTAATATATGGACCTATTGCTACCTCTTTCAAATGTACAGTAATTAATTACACAGCTAGCTAGCTGTCTACCATTGCTGCTATGAACAAGTAACTTTTCCATTACTTAATCTGTTATTTAATTATAAAAACTTTTTTTTTGAGAAGAATTATAAAAAACTTAGTAGGTGGTGACCATAGCCAAGTTAGTCAAAATGTTTGCTTGGTATTTCAAGTTCGATTTTCAATGGAATAAGCCTATTAGTCCTCTTGATTTGAGTCGGTCAGATATAGCTAACAGCCAATATAATGTACCATACGAGGTAAAAATTAAAGATTGTTGAATCTAATTTAGTCTTGGATGCATTTTTATTTTTCAATGGTTCAAACTCACTTTAAATAAAGTGATCGACCACTTGAGTTAGCACTCTGGCGCTAGTCTAGGATGCATATATATTTTATGTTTCTTATATGAATTTCATTTAGTTCCAAAAAGAGGCAAACAATTGAAGATGTCTGAGGTGAAACTGCATGCAAGTTTGCATGAAAAAAGAGGATGGATGGGGACAAAATATGCAATGAAAATGATATAATTGAAGATGCATGTAGGTGGGGTGTGCAGTGAGGTAGTGGGATGGACTGACCCTCTTTTGATTGAAGTAATGATGAGTAAATCCACTCATCACATAACAGGCCAATTTATTTTGCCCTAAATAGTGCATGGCCATGGCCATACAAAATAGAGGGCCAGCTTTGCCTGCTATTCATACCCCAGCAAACTTTGCTTTTCTTCTTCTTCTTCTTCTTTTTTTTTTTTTCCTCTAAAAAAAAAAAAATTAAAACTCAAATTTCCAGTTTCACCCGAACTATACCTTGAATCTCATAAATCAGTCACCAACTCTATGGGGAGATAAATCAAATTTGTCTAATTTTGCTTCTTTCCTCATACATCTAATTACTCTCTCTATATATATATTCTTGCATGTCACATAATTTAATTTGTATTATTTGAGTAGTAAGAAAAATAGTTAAAAGAAAAATGAATCACCTATAAATTAAAATCATATATTAATCAATCAACACATTAACAGAAAGAAGTACGTATTATGAGATAAATTTAATATCCGAGAGGAATGTAGTATTACTCTTATCACACATTTTTAGTATGAGAATTGTTAAAAAATAAAATATATAAATATAAATGTGCAATACAATCTAATTATCACTTTAAATTTTTAGTCGAGACAAAATACATGTAACCCAAATTTTCTATAATGTCATTGACTCATTGTCTAGTACTCTCTTTTTAAATTAAACAAAGATGGGGATATTTTGATAATATTAATTAATTAGCTCAACAAAAGAAGAAAAAAAAGTCTAATGTTATCAAAATACTCTTGCCACTTCCATTTTTAGAAAAAAAGAAACTAAAACCAAAGTATTATAGAAAAATTCCAGCCTATATGTCATCACCTCAACCAAAAATAAAAACTTTATTAAAAATAAACTAAATGATTAGATTACAATTACCAGGACTATGTGGTCTAATGGTATCCGGGTTGGACTTCCATTTGGAAGGTTGTGAGTTCGAGCCTCAGTGGAGGCGTTATTGGCTCTTTGTGTTTCAGTAGGTTGAAAAAGTATATGAACAGATACTACAATGTAATAGGACCAGTAGCATTCAAAAAAAAAAAAAAGATTACAATTAAGAATAAACTAATAACAATGACGAGACGAGACCACACCAATAATTTCTTAACCTAATGATTAGATTAAAAGAAGCCATCAGCGTTCAACTTATACCTAAACCAATTAAATATTTTTTCTAAATACCACAAGTTCTCCTTTCAAATCTGTCATACACAAAAATATCTTCTTATACTATACATGACATATATAGGCGCACTAAAGCTGAAATGTCTTAAAGAGCATAATTATTGTTGAGGATGCATGATTAAATTAGATATATACCCATAAATGTTTATTTCAATATGATATGAAATTCGAAACTTGATTGTGTTGTTTGATTTGTATTTATAGGAAAGTCAATAGATGCGGCGTGAATAAGATGACAACTTAACACATTTTGAAGTCTAAAATTTCGATTTTAATACAATGGAAATTTCTTTGAAGAGTAAGTCTTATTCTTTTCGATCTTCAATATTTAAAAAACGCATGGACTTGTAAAAATATTTGTGTAAAAACATTATAAATAGAATTTGTTATAACTACAATAGATGTTAGTGAAGGTGACAAGTAAAAACACATCATCAAATTTTATAAGAGGTTACGATTTTTTAAAAATAGTTAATCTGGGTTCACTAAGAGTTTCAATGTACGTTGGGGTTAAGTGATGCCCTGGCCCAATCCTCCCAATGGCACTAATAAAGGCATGCTATAAATGATCACAACTTACGAAAAGTGACAATTTCCAATATATACTCCAGTATATATTAGCTCAATAATCACACACGTAAGATTAACAATATATAACATCTAAAAAGTAAAAACAGTATAACTATATAAATAATAAAGCATAAATTAAAGCTAATATTGCTAATATGTATGCTTTTGAATTTCAGTACAAACAAACAAACAAAATTCTCTATAATCTATGTATAGCTGTCTAAATTAAAGGTAGAGCGAGTAGGTAGAGCAAAATGATCTTGTACTAAAAGATTACGAGTCTAATTCTTGACAGTGACATTCTCTATATTGAAATCCATCTCACAATGTTTTCTTGCAATTTACTTAGGAAACTCAGTGCACACTTGGGGTAATATCTACATATTTCTCTTGTGATCCAAAAAATTAAAGGTGGAAGCCTTGTCGTGATAGCTTAAGTGATGAACAAATTGCACTTTTGGTCCTGTAAGTATTAGGGTACTGGCAATTTGAGTACGTGACTTTTAAAACTCCCAATTTAAACCTTTAACTATGCATTTTTTGGCAGATTTGGTCCTCCGGACCAAATTGCCGGCCAATTTTGGCCGGAAAATGATTTAATGGTTCGAATGATTTTGTGATGAGGGTAAAAACGTCATTTCACTCCATGGGTTGAAGAAATCATGATCATCATCATCATCCCAGGTTGAACTATTGGTGGGACTCATATTGCTTAGGATCTGGTTGAGGGAGCGGAGGCGGTGGTTGAGCTCCGCCACCTGAGCCATGAGGACCGAGTTTTGGGCCTCCACCTCCAGGCGAAGCCGAGTGACGACGTCGAGATTGGCCAGGATATGGCTGTTTTCCGCCTCGAGTTGACTCACCTGGGCCGTTAGTTCATCCAGAAGCTTCTGCTTCTTCATCCTCGACCGTCTGGCCGATTCCCGGTTCGATATCATGCGTTTGCGCTTCCTCTGATCCATCATCTGCGAATCTTCTTGCGATTTCACGCTTGATCTTGAATAAGTTCCACTAGAACAAGCCATGCTACTGTAGGGTTTCTTATATATAATTTATTATATATGTACTAATAATTGAATTAAGATGGAGAAAATATGAAATAGAAAGGCCGGCCGGGGTTTAATTTGGTGATGATTAGGAGAGCTGATCGAGGTTGTTCATGAGAAGACGTAGAACCAGTGGAGGAAGGCGACGGAGAAGGATTGGACCAGGTGGGTGCGGCGGCGGAGGGTGGAGGAGATGGTCAATCCTGAGAGGAGTACTTCGCTGATCACCGGAGACATCATCGGCGGTCCGGCCGGAACATCAATATCGATTTCGTAACAGATACTAGTGTTGAAAGATCAGAGAGAGAGAGAGATTAATTAGGGATTGAAGATTTGAGAAGTTGGGAGAGAGATGGTGGGAAGAGAGTTGACCAAATTGTACGCCAATACAAAATTCCTTCCCCAGATTTAAGAGAGTTGACCAAATTGTCTAGCTTGAAATGAGGGTGAAATGACGTTTTTACCCTCATCACAAAATAATTCGAACAATTAAATCATTTTCCGGCCAAAATTGGCCGGCAATTTGGTCCGGAGGACCAAATCTGCCAAAAAATGCATAGTTAAAGGTTTAAATTGGGAGTTTTGAAAGTCACGTACTCAAATTGCCAGTACCCTAATACTCACAGGACCAAAAGTGCAATTTGTTCCTTAAGTGATTTTCCAATCAACATTTAATCTTGCTTCCAACAGGAGGATGGAGGTTTGAACCTAACCGGAAACTCGAGGAGTCTTTGGGGACTTTGACCAATTAGTGGTGATGAACAATACCTTTATATGCGCAAAAGTGTAGGGTTGGCGAGGAATTGAAATTACATACTTAGGTAACTCGGAAT